GAGTGGAACCAATTATAAATCCAGAACTTGGGAATAAATCAGTAGATTACTACGTACATTAAAAAGAAACAACTCTCAAACACCTCGTTTAACTGTAGCGATCCATCAAAATTGCACGTTAACAATGTTATTTACTTAATATATATATACATAGCTTGATTATTGGTATTTTATTTAAAAATATAGATTTGTTGCATTGTATAAAATCATATTTTATGAGTATATATTATAATTTTTGATTATCAATAAATAATTCAATATCTTATATTTAAAATAAATTCTAATAATGCATTAATTTGTATCACATATATAATCTTTTATATATATAGAAAGGTAAGATCAAATCCTATTTATTTAATTTTAAAAATGTATACAAATATTATTTAAATAGCTAAATCTTATAAATGTTTGTTAAAATCCTTAGATGCCTTTTTGATTTATTTGTATATTATTATACTAGAGAATAGAAACTATTGTGAATTCAGATTTTATAAAATTTACTGAGTAATATATAGTAAAATTAAAGATCTTTAGGTTGCATAAATATTACAAATTTCATTAAAATCCAACCAAAATTTTTTTATTTAAAAGCTAATCAATTATAATTTTTATATATTAAAATAAAAAATAAAAATTTTTTAAAGTAAACTTTTCTTATAACAAAGTATAAAAAATAGTTTTTTACATGTTCTTTCATTTTTACATATAAAATTATTCTATTTTCCTGCATTTTTAAAATTGAATACTTCTATTTATATTTTTAAAATTATAATTGATTTGGCTTTTAAATAAAAAAATTTTGGCTGAAAATTTGTAAACATCTTATGCAGTCTAAAGATCTTCACTTTACTATATATTACTAAGTAAATTTTATAAAATCCGAATACTTTTTGTAGGCCAGTATATATTAAAAAAAAAATTGATTAAAATTAAGATCGATGAAATGATTGGTTGAAGGTCACGTGATTTTGACAGAAACGCACGTGAATATTTTTTTTTCATACATAGAAAATATATTGTCCTTCGGACAATTCCAAATAAGAAATTTTTATGAAGGATTCACCTTCAAGGATCAGTGATGGCTATTGGACCAATTGGACTTATAAAAACTCCGTCATTTGGACTATTGGACTTATCAGCATAGCCAACACTGTCAAGGATTAAAAAAAGAATTTAAACTAAATTAATAACGCCAATTAGAAGTCTATATATATAACGCGAGGAAAGTTGATAAATAAATACAATGAAATGATGTCATTTAAAACGGCAAAGTTCTCGTGCATTAATTCACGTTAAAAGGAATTCTATGTATCTTTATTTAATAAATGATAGATTTGTGAAATTTATATTATTACTTCCAATCAAATAAATACATGAGAGAAAAAAATAAATGCGATAGCGAACCCTCCGGTTTACTATGAAATTTTAAAAAAAATTCGGTTTATCAAAATTTATAAATATAAAATCAAAAATATTAAATAATCGTTTTATTAAGTGATCGTTATATCGAGAATCGTTATATCGAATTTTTTTTATATTCCCAAATTGAAAATTCATCATAGTCTGATTCCTCAAACTTATAATCAATTTCTTCATCATAAATTTTTTCCTTATCATCAATACTATTCCTCCATTCTTCAAAATTTTTAGAACGTCCTACATAGTAAACACATTTTGGATCCGCTTCATGAGGCCAAAAATGAGGATGATGTAATGCTTCAAAATCTGCTATTTGCTTTGCTCTAAATCTTAACAAAGCTTGTCTACCTTTTTGTTCTGCTATTGCATATACACCACTAAAATACAAATGAAGAATGAAATTGAATTAATAAGAATAAAATATTATGTTTAATAAGAAGTATGGCAACATCAATAAAATAATATTTACCCCATAAAAGCAATAAACATGTTTTGTAAAATAATTACAAAGAAAATACTAATGATTATACTAAGCGCTTGAACCGCCCAAAAATCAAATGAATCTAGCTGAACGAAATCTCCACTACTCCAAAAAAATGCAGCGATAAGTGATGTATGAAATTGTTTAAATGGATTATCATCAGAGTTATCGGGATTGTAATCAGCTTTAAGACTAATATTTGTTATTTCATTTGTGCCTGGATCGGTAAAATTTCCACTAAATGTGGATTCTTTGTTTGGAATAATATTCGGATTTTTAAGTAGACAAAACCTATAGATTTAAAATAATAAAAAAAAAAAAAAACGTAAATTCAACTTAATAATAACAATTTTTCTAAAGTAAAAAATTTAGGAACGATCATGACATTGTGTGAGCAAATCCAACCAATACCACTGCCATAAATAAAATGAACGGAAATACTGTTTTGATAATGATCGCGACATAGTATATGTATATGTTAATATCTATTTTTTTTTTTAAAAAAAAAAAAAGGTGAGATTAATTAATATATTAATAATTGTTAAATAAAATTTAATCTATACTTACATGATATTGAACGGAGGTATAAAACCTAAAATTTGATCAAAAAAAAAATATATATATATTATTATTTGAATTAATTACCATTTAAAAGTATTTAATGAAAAAAGCTTTTTTTTTTTTTTTTTTTTTTTGAAACTTACAAGTTCAATCCAAATTACGAAAATTGAGGTAGCTATCCCAACAACTTTGTTTCTATCAACCTCAACATTTACAAATCCACCATCAAAAAGTCGAAAATCAATAACAATTAAACTCATTACAGTTACAGGGATAAGAATTGACATTAAATCAAATATGTTGAAAAGGACGCTGAAATATTTTTTAATTCCACGATGCCATAATTGTATCATTTCATTAACAAACGTGTAAAGTGCTAAATAATAAAATAAAATGATTAATACAAATAAAGTTTTTACAGCTCCTGCATTTATATTTTTATGATCTAAATATGCCCAACTAACAATCATGAAACTTAAGGAATAAAGAATATATCGAAAAAAGAGTGATAGAAAAAATCTCCTTGCTTGTTGCCAACGATAATTTATAATTGCTTCTGTAGCTGGATTATCGTACATAGAATCATTACGCTCATGTCTAATAACTCTTGCAAAGGGACTTAATGATTGAGTATCCTCACTGCTAAATTTGTACCATCGAGGAATAAATAATATCCAAATAAGAGTACAAATATTTTTCCAAAAATCATAATTATTGTTGTCTCGAAGATTCTTATATGTTGTAGGTCTTGTATAATCGGGAAGAGGTACCACACGTAAAGCTATCGGTGGATTGTGATGAAAAACATTAAAGAACTTATAACCTTTGCTCATTTTTTCTTTGCAATAATTAAAAAAATTTCGAGTCTGTGGCCAATTGTACAAAAATGTAACCTTATCGGACCTTAATCTATCTCTGGGTCGGAATGCTACAAATTTATTATCATCATTAGCTTCGTTCAGATAATTTTCCGGGATAATATCAAAATGTTCATGTGCTGAAAAATAATTCTGGTCTGCAAAACATCTTTTGCGAAATAATCTTTTAGCATATTCATCTACGTCATAGGGATAGATCAATTTAGAATAAGTCCATTCATAATGCTTGCCGAGTAAAACGAAGAAAATAGAAAGTAAAAAACTAACCATAGTCATACTTATATAAGAGAGGGAGAGCCTTAGAAACGGTGCACATCCAACCCACAGATTTTATTGCATTTGTTGAATAATATTCCAAAAGATATGCAACAATAACGGTATCTTTGAATTCACGTTCTATAAATAAAAAGACGGAATAAATAATTAAAAGGTAGTTCCATGTATATAAAGCACATAAAATTGATAATTTACCTTTGCAATGATGAATTGCTAATTCAAGGTCATTTTTTAGATCCCTGTCTTTCATATCCAAAGGATTAATAACTCTCTTAATGTTCTTGGGATCAAATTGATCAAGATCGTCATCTTTTACAAAACTTCTCTTCTTCCATAATTTGTTTCTTGGTATAGGATTGACCTTTCTATTTCCATTTATGCCATCATTTTTTTCGCCAAACAAAATATAATAAATTAAATCATTACAATCACCGAGGATTAAGTTTTTCATAACATTATGTCGAACATCTAACATTTTGTATTCATTGGGTCTGTGACGAATAAATCTCCAGATTATATGTTTAATATATTTAACCATTTCCTCATACTAAATGATAAAATGATAAAAAAAAATTTAAAAAAATATATATATATATATTAAACATTAGAATTAAATTATTTTCGACTTACATTGTATTTTTTACAATAATTTGTAAGACATCGTACTCGTTTGTTTAAATGTTCCAATGCTTTGCATGCGTATCTTATTGCATTGATTTGTTCATCATTACCTTGCCATTGAATTGTTTTTTTTTTAAATATCTCTTTCCCATCTTCAGTCTCATACCAAGAAACTTCCATATAGAAACGTTTCTTTCCAACTTTAATTTTTTCAATCTTTAATACTTTTTTATTATCTTTATCAAAATATTCTTGATCTACGGGAATACCATTAGTCCATATATATTCTAGGAACGGTACCCCTTTGTTAGGCAAGGTCTGACCTTTACATTTATGGATTTGATGCCAAACTTGAACTGTTGAGCTTCCTACTAAAAGTTGTAAAGTTTCATATTCATTATGGAAAAGAAAAAAAGAAGTAGTTGTATAACCCTTCAACATCCATGGTTCTTTATCATAAACAATTGACTCTATTTCTTTATTTTCATAAGGATACAAGATATGTTCTTTTGAAGGTTCTTTTTTTAAATCTATTGATGCATATTCAACTTTCTCGCTTTTTTCCTTCAGATACTTTTGATACTTTACGTCTAATTTTTTGAGAATTGAAGTAACATTCCCTTTATCATCTACACGCAAGACATTTCCCGAAGTTTTAGCTAACCAATTATCAATACCTTCCTCCGTAAAAGAATCAGAAAATTCATCTATCGGTATAGATTCGCCAGTATTGTACATATCCCATACGATAACCTTGAGGTGCTTAGCTTTAATACATCTGCCAATTATAAGCAATTTCTTATCATTATCAATGAATTCCATTGAATATATTCTATCAATTAAATCGTTGAATTTTTTTTCCAAGATTTCTAAACCATTTTCCATTAAGTATAAACTAAAATACAGAATATAAAAGTTTTTAGTTTTTTTTTTTTTTTTTTTACGTTCTCTGTCACACGACCACTTACCTAACAGAATAATGACCTTTAGTGAAACAAAATTGTAATTTTTGTCCACTGATTAAAAAATGATTTTTATGATACTCTTTCAGCTGAACATGTTCGGTCTCGACCCTATTTGACGTAATTTCTAATTCCATTTCAACCAGATTATAAACTAGAAGTGTAGATTTGTCATAAGTAAACGTGGGTGTCGCTTATTTATTAAATATCAAAATTAAAATAATATTTACCTTCGAGTGCCTGCATATCATTTTTGTATTGTTCAACCAACAAATATTTATCACAAATAGAAGTGAAGAGTACCTCCATCCGTTCACTTTTTAATTTAGTGTTTTCTAATTCAAACGCGATGCTTTTTGGATATTCAAAACTTTCATCCAAGATAAATTTGTTATTTTTTCTATTTTTATTATAACGGAAATTATATATTCCCTCACAGTTTAGTATTAAAAATCTCTGCAAAACAGCGTCATTATTTGCAGAACCTTCTGGGTCAAAATCCTCTATAAATTTTGGAATCCCTGAAATAATTCTACATAAATAATACGTAAACGGTGATTCCAACATCTTATACTTTGTATTCACAAATTGTAATCTTTTGCCATTTTCATTTTCATTTTCATTTCCTTTTTCATTGTTTTCATTGTCTTCTTCTTCTATTAAATTAAAACGATAAATGGCTGTTCCATAATTTTCAGTCTCATTTACAGGCACTACTGTATTAGAACTTGCAAAAATTACCATTTTCACATGATTTTCCATATAATTAATCGATCGCTTTCCTTCATCCTTTTTCTTACTATTTTCTTCTTCATTTATGTGTGATATTGCAACGAATATAACTTTTTCATTGTTATCTTGTTGTATATTTGATATATCCAATATCCATAATTGAGAGCCATCTTCTGAAACTTTGTTGTTTTCATTTGAAGCGGTTGGAGATTCTTTATAGTCTTTATCCAAGCTATTTACGATATCTAAGTCTTTATTAATTTTAAAATGGGCAATTACTTCATTAAGTTTATCCTGACTATTTTGGGTGCTCGTCCCAATATCCTTACTCTCGATGATTGATGGACGATAATCGGTATTTTTTAAAATTTTAACATTAAGGTTCACTAATTATTGTTATAAAAAATGAAAATATTCAGAAATCATTATTGAACTTTATTGAAAGGAAAGAAATATTATTTACCTGTGTCAAATGTAACGACAAATGTTCCATCTAGATTAATTGCAATTTGATATGGGTTATCAATTTGATGACTTTTGTCAGAGGAATTGACTTTTTCAGGGGAATTGCTTTCGTCAGAGGAAGGCATCTTTTTATCTTATTTAATGATTTGTTAGTATTATCAAAATAATTGTATCGTTAGGAAAGCGGGAAAATTCGAATATTTATCTAATTTTTTTTTTTTTTAAATCTTTTCAAATTACATTAAATTTTATGTATTATGTATAAATTATTTCATATTATCACAAATAACCATTATTCATTATTCCCTTTTTTTTTTATATTATTTATAAATACAAATTCCTTTTTTTATTAATTACAATGGCCAGTTTAGTAATCATCGACATCTAATTAAAAAAAATAAATGCACAATGCATAAACAACAGATCTCCAAATTAATAAAACTCATTAGTAAAGGAACAATTGGAAATCGGAACGCTCCGATTGAGGTTTAAATATGATTGATAACGTAATTTGACGAAAGATCTAAAAGTTGGGAATTCAGATTTTATAAAATTTCCGATGGTAATCGGTTTGTCCGAATTAACTTTCGGGTGAAAAAATTTATTGATAATTATAAGACATGCAAAAGAAAAATGCAGGAATGTAGGGATAAAAATAAAAATAATATAAAATAAAAATTACAAAATTAAACGGAAACAATTTTTTAGAAAATGTCTAGACCCCTATTTTTAGTGCCACTATGCAAATCAAGGGGTTTCTTTTATTCTTTTATTTTTTTAGAAATTTAGAAACAATAGGCATGTTCATTCGATTGATGTCGTGTACCATAGATGCACTTTGATGCAAATCTTTAAAATTTATGTATCCTCAACTTATACATTTATTGAACATCTATTGAACAGGCCTAATATAACCAAATGTAACGAAAAAAAAAACGGTAGCCGGATAGCTTACACATGATCCGGATAATTTTTTCTGTAATTCTACATACAGTATCAACTGTAAAACATTTTTTTGCTAATTATTTCATTTTAATTTAGTGTTGCAAAAATAAAAGAAATTCTTTATTTATTATGACTTTATTCCCAATATATCTCATATCTTTCCATGTTCTGGAGATTTTAAATGTAATATCATCATTTATTTTTTCTAATATTTGGCCGAATATTCTTTTAACCATAAGTGACGTTTTGGCTTTTTAAGTGATATAATTCTTTAGCCTTAAATAACCAATAATAATATTAATAAACAAGTAATCAAATAGAATTTTATCAATCAGTTTATAAATATAATGTAACATCAAAACCTTTATTTCAATAATATATTCCAACCTGTTGAAATTCTTGAAATTCTATGATTACAGGAAGGGTAAATATATTCAAAGATTCACCTTCATTTGTTTGAAATGCCTCCTAATTGTCCATGACTTTGATAATTGTGGCGTAAATAATAAAAATCGTAAGCCTGAAAAAGCGAATAATTACTATAAAAGAAAGTCCAGTATCAATCCTGTTTTTTTTAACCATGGCGTAAAATTCATAATGGATAATTTTTCATTTCTTTTGTACTTAAGAGTAAAATTACATGTTGTCACCGGCTAAAAATTCATCATTGAAAAATTGATCTACAAAGATTTATTAAATGATCTACAGAAGTTACTGGAATTAATTTTAGGCCAGACCAAATTAATTATTTGTTTATTCCCCTATTTATAAAAATGTTATACATTATATGTAGCCAATAGTTTTGCATCATTTTTGTCACGTGATACTTCGAATCGGACAATATTTTTATCCAATAAAATCTAAATTGATTTAGAATATATATTTCTCATGATAATGTTTTTGATTTTTTTAATTTTAATAAAATTTTTCTATTAAAAATATCCCCTTAAAATCAAAAATTAATTTATTTCAATAAATTTTTTTTTCAATATTTTTCATGATAATTTATATAAATAAATAAGAGATACTTTTAATTAGGCACTTACCTTTTCAATTTGTAAAATATACTTTATCTATTTGATTCAAGGTAAAGCTGATCAACTAAAAGTTTATTTAACATATATTCTTTCAAAAATAATTTTTAATAACACTATATTATATGTTATATAATATTTCTCAAAAAATGAAAATTCCTACACTTTTCTTTGCAAAAAAATCATTAATATATTCAATTATTGAAGTGATAAATTTAATATATTCTAAAGAAATTGCTATATAAAAATATGATTATTTAAGAAATTAGCATAATAATATTGATAAACAGTCAGATAATAAGATTAAGAGTTACAATTGATATAATAAAATTTCAGATATTTCAGATGCTCTTAAAAGTCTAATATTAGATATTAAAAAAAAACAAATAGTGAGATTTAATATGTTTAAATAGCATTCAACTTTATTTTCAACTTGTAAAAAGTAACTATCTTAAGATAAAAGTAAGCAAAATATTGATGATGTAGCAGAAAAAGGAAAATACTATGTTAAATACATTCATTCTTAGGCATTTGAGTATATAATGAATCACAAAATTCTTTACTTTTATCAAAAATATCATGCTAAAATATAAAGTTTTCTTTAGGATGAAAATATTCTTTTTCAAATAAAAGTATTTGTTCAGTAGCATAAGTTGAAAATTACCCTACAAATATTAATAATACAAATGAATAAGAATATTTTATCAGGACTCAGATTTCTCAGATTTGCATCATCTCTAACTATTTATTTAAATACTTTGAGAAACTATTTAAAGAGCTTGAATATACATACATAAAGATAAAAAAAGGAATGTATAGATAAGCATAAAAGAGAAGATATGATGCCCTATCAAAAAATATTTTTAAAATAAATAAGTGAACTTGAGTTTAGAATGCCTATTTTTTCAAAAAATAATTTAAAAGAAATAACCTGATCAGACAATTCATTTATTCTTATCACATATGATGAATACATTTTCTTAGCTTATGATAAAAGCCAGAGCTTTAGATTTCTAATAGGGAATAATCTTTATGAAAAAAATTAATGGTTACTTAATTCATATTAGTGATTTTTTGACTAATATTTGTAGTTGTCGTATACTTTTTGATGAAATACAGGTATTAATGACTTCTCTAAAGAAGCTTGCATTATTATGAATTTAAGCAAAAACAATGATAAATAGTGAAAGGCTGAAAATTTAGTAAACTAAGTAATTAAATGTGCTATTTCTATATTCAAAATATGCTTTTTAGAATATCAGGTCTTATTCATATTTGATACTGTATTAAGTTATGCTACTTTTTTACTAGATATACTAATTGCTAAACATATGAATCTTAGCTCTGATAAAAAGCAACTAAAGATATATAACTAAGGTTGCTAGACAAAATCTAAAGTTTAGACAGACATTTAAATGATAAAAGTAAAACTTGGTTAAATTATATGAAAATCTTATTAAAAAATCTGCGAAATTCAGAAAAAGGTAAAACTATATCAAAGCTTATAAAAATAGTGAAACTATATCAATTACTTAGTAAAAATTTAGCAAAATTAAAGGTTTAGATATTTAGCTAAATCCAAAATGAGTTTAAATAAGCAATCTTATATATAGCACATATTTTGGTAAGGGAATTCAATAAAATATGATCCTTTTATTAAATTATTATATTTCTAAATTATGTGAACAGCCAAAAAAGTTAAATTAAGTTCTAACAAAAAGGGATTGTAATCAAATGAAAGATTGAAATTAGAAGATATATCAAAAATAATGAATTAGTAACAAGACTTTTTAGTATAAAAAAGATGATTAGAAAAAGTTATTATTGGAGCTAGACATCAAATTATATTTTATCCTAAATTTTATTGTGAATTTAATTATATTGAGAAGATTTGAGATGCAGCTTCACTATAATAAATTTTTTATTATTGTGAATTTCATGAATGATCCCAAAATTTTATTAAATAAAATAATTAAATATAATGAATTTTTTATAATAAAACTTATTATTATGTATAATAAATTAAAAATTCAAGAGATATAATAAATTTTTTTCTTATATTATTATTAAAGGAAATGTTACATTATAAATTTTAATAAAGTATAAATTAATAATTTAAATATTCATAAGAATAAAATAAAATATGTGAAATTATTTAATAAATTTTTATAAGAATTAATTAGTGTTGAACCTTAGATTAATTAGTATCAAATTTAGGATTAATCAGTATTGAATTAGTAGTGATTAATTAGTTGATTCAATTTATTTAATTTCTATAATTCAAATTTGAAATTGCTAAAAATTTCAATTGCAAAATTGTGAAAATTACGTAAATTTAAAATTATATATGTGATTACATAATATGTATAATATATAATGGTTATTATTATTTGTTATTATTGCTTATTTAAAATATTTTAAATAAAAAAGAATACATTTGTCAAAACAAATGAAAAACTATATAATAAAGCAGAGTTTGTAGGAATGGTAGTGATCAGAGGCATAGTAATAAAATATGAATCATAAACTAGTAAAATACTCCTTTAAGACTTTTAACAAAATTTTTTTATGATTAATATATACCAAATATTTTTAACTAGTTAATTTAATTTTTTAATTATACAAATAAATTAAAAAAATTTTATATAATAACCATTTTTTCAAAAAAAAAAGATCAGTATTCTAAAATTATAATGATATGCATTTTGATGATTAAACAGATACAAATAAAATATTCAACTATGCATTGATAAAAATAAATTTTTTTTATTTATGGTTTAAAGGGTTTAGAACATGTAATATCTTGAAATGATTTGTTAACAAATTTTTAAATATTGTTATATAAATATTCTTAATGTATTAATAATAAAGATTTAGATAGTAAATAAAAATTAGATCTATTAGATTAAAATTCTTGTTTTTAAAATATAAAATAAAAAAATTATTTCTCTGGTTCCTTTTGAACAAATACTTTTCCAGTTTATATCTTTTAAACAAAAAATGCTAATACTTTTGAATATCAGGTAAACCTTTAAAATTAAACTTTAAAAATAATTTAAAATTATAATAAAACTACCTATTTCTTCTATTATAGCAAACAGTACAATTAGTTCTATTTTTAGTAGATTTATTTACTATTCTTTTAA